TTGTGTATACAATCAAACTGCCAACGCCCTCAGCGAGAACACATTGACAGGCCCAGTACGGCTGAACAACTATCTGCCCCACCACCTCCAGTTTATGCCACATATGTGTGTCGCTGGCAACGGTGAGTCTCTTGGTGACAATAGCTTTTGTGGCTGTCACATGTGGCCTGTCTCAGACAACAACCCCCTCGCTCTCTCTCTCTCTCTCTACTTCTTCTAGATGGTCTATCTTGTTTTTTTTTGCCTCATTCATATTTACATAACATGCGTTGAATTTAACTTGAAATGGGTTTTCCATTCCTCAAAAAATTTAATTTATTTGCTTAAAACGTTCCCAGAAGAATGCTTCATTTATGCTTGTTTTTAACTATGTTCCATAATAATAATATTATTATTAATAATATTAATAATAAGTATTGTCACTTCACAAATATAAGTATATTTCCCTTTATGGGGCAGTCCTATCGATTATGTTTGTCTGTGTGAGTTTTGCAAATGCTCGTATTAACACAATTTATGAAATTGAGAACACCCAAAGTGCTTTGCTTAACACCCTGGCTGGCCCCCTGGCTGATGATAATGGTTATAATAATGGTGATGACGATGACAATGTCGCTGGTGGCCCGTTGTCTTTTCATTTAATTTGTCCGCGCTAATTTTGCGCTTGATCGGCAAGAGTCACACAAAGAGTCAAGAGATGCTCGGCCTCGGCTCGGCTCAGTCGATTCAATAAAGTCATTAGCTAAAGTGGCCAATGCATTGGGGACGCGTGTGTGCGGCTCCAGTCTCGCCGGCACACGGCTCGCTGGCTTGGCAAATAGAAAGTGCAGCGAGGCGGCGGTTGCGTCTTCACGGCTTAGCCCCCCTTCGGCTGCCTCTGATGCAAAATGCAGGCAACACAACAACCAACAAACAAACAAACACACGCAGAATTAGCAGAACGTGTCCATGTCGATGCATACCTAATGATTCCCGGCTGCTCGCTGTGCGAACGGCGTACGGTTTTCTGGCCATAATTTTTTGTGCTGTCTGTGCGGGGCAAACGAGCTACCCAACTAAAAACATGTGGAAAAGGCGGTAAATTGAAGAGAAGCCGGCCGGTTAGCGGTCTAAGACGATTTATTAGTTAATATTTAGTGCAACAGCGACAGGTGAAGTTTGGCAACATTTCATAAGCATATAACGGGTTGTTTCAACTATAAACTAGGTACAGATGAAAATGACGAGGGAACTGGAAATATATTGGCCAGTTATTGGTCAAAGACGATAAATTAGTTCACAATAATAGCGAAACATCCAAGTGAAGTTTGGCAACGCCTCAGTTGGAGCTATTTCTCAAAGAACAAATACGATTTGTCAAGTTTTTCAACTGTGCAAGAGCATTTAACAGCTCGAGTCGAGTAAAGACAAGGTACTGAAGGCAATACCGGTTGAATAAATCCGAAATGCGAATTTTGGCAACAGTGCTTAAGTAGCTATAATTGTTGGTGGAACTAGAGATATGCCTGCTGATAAATGGTCACAGATTTATTAATTAATATTAAATGGAGCGCAGAATTGTGAGATTTGCAACACCTCAATTAAGGCTTTCTCTTGAAGAACAAATCCAAAATGTGAAGTTTGGCAACAGTGCTTAAGCAGTTATAATTGTCGCTGGAACTGGAGATATGCCGGCTGATTAGCTGTCGGAGATTTATGAATTAATGTCAAATGAAATACAGGCATTATCTCAACTGAGGCTACCTCTCAGAGAGCAAATTCTAAATGTGAAGTTTGGCAACATTGCTCAAGTAAATAACGGGTCAGGAACATGAACAATAATGTAATGTGAAATGATGAAGTTGGCTGCTGCGTAACTCAATTACGAGCAGCTTTTGTCAAGCAGCTGCCGCATATTATGGCTCGCTCTTTGAACCTTAAAGTGTTTTGCCAAATAACCGCAAGCTGACTCTTTGCAATTTTCCCAATTTGCGAAGTTTTCCAAGCGAAGCTTGGATGTGGCCATTGTTGCTGCTGTTGTTGTTTTTGTTGTTTTGGGTGTTGTGGCCTAAAAAGTTTGTGCACTTTGCCATGGCAACAAGTGCAAGCAGTTGGGCACACGGGCTGGGAGGCATAAACAATGGCCAAGTCGCGTTGCCAACTGAAACCAAACAATAAACAGAGCACGATTCTGGCGAAAATCAATAAATAGCTTTAGGCTGAATGCATTAGGCATAAGGCGGGCCGCGACGGCTGGCGAAGCCTTCTAGGTTAGACGTTGCGCCCCATTTGAATGTTATACAAGTAATAACCCCGCGTCCGAGTTCGACTTCGACTTCGAGTTGGAGTTGGAGTCGGAGTCGGCGTCCAAATGCGAGTCTCGCGACCGCGACACGTTTTGCCATTTGATTCCCAGGCAGACCGACAAATTGAAGTAAATTTCCTGTTTGCCTGCCTTTTTCTATTTGCTGACCCAATTTCCGCGGAAAAGCGACTTTTCATTAGTCCAAGTTACCTTTTATATAGGCTTCGGCTTTCGGTACGCCTTGGCTAACAGATTTGGCGCATTTGATTAAGTGACGACTGTATTTTTCTTGTTCCCTGGCTTTTTGGGGCTGTTGCCTTGGCGCTACTTAATTAAGATCTGATGAAAATGGACGTCAATTGATTTTCTGTTTTTGTTTAAAGCAATGAGTTAAAAGGGACTTTCCCTTGTTTTGGCAGCGCAAAGAAAACTCTTGGAAAATCATATACGTAGGCTTATCAGGATAAAAGAATACGTGTATTCAAGATACTATTTTTGGAGATGTACTCGTGTTAATGTAGGCTATAATTTATGGGGCGTCCGAATGCTGTCCCTGACACGACACCAACAGCAACAACCCACACGATGTGGCTGCTGCCAAGTGGCGGCAGCGTAGCCGACGGCCCGACGGCCCGCTGACAATTACTTGGCCGAAACGGTTGAAAACGTGTTGGCTACTCAATAAGCAGCATCTACTTGGCATAACTCAGCTCTTGCCACCTATACCCCTGCCTTCTATGCCGCTTGGTGGCTTGACACCAACGCGCCGCGTGTAAATCATATAGGCATAAATGTATGCACGGCACCTCTGAATCACGCGCGGATTACCAACAACAACAGCAACAACAACAAGAAAATCAAATGGCCAGCAGCGCTATAAACTGCCCTCGTTGCCCACACAAAGCCAAAGCCAAAGTCGAAGGAGCTAACACGGTTCGGGCTCTTCGGTAGGGGACTTGGAAATTTATGCAAGTTGAAAGTCGTGACACAATTGGGAAAAGTTCATTGGCTGACTTCGGCGGGAACTGAGTACTGAGTCAGGAAAGAGCTGGCTGGCCATGGGCTATGGGCCATAGGTAAGGCTGGCCGCAGGGCAGGGTCTATTGATCTATCGATCAGATGAGAATGGGGGCCAACTTGTCATATGTTCATGTGGCATACACAAATCTCCGTGGCATGAGAGAGAACCTTTCGAATTTCGACAACCTGTTGCCTGCCCTCAGCTAAGTAGAACGCCGCACAGTTATTATAGCTCATGGTTCCACTCAAGCGACCATAGACCGGGAGGGAGGGGGTCTTTCAAACGCTGGCGAACCAAGAAGCAGAACCAACGGCGTGTCTTTCGCCGGGTAATTTAAGAAGCTCGCCTGACTTTTTGCATTCACTTTATTGCCGCTGATGATGTTGGCTGTCTGGTTCAGGTTCTCTATTTACCGCTAAGAGCAACAAACAGCGACGCCGGCTTGAAGTTGGACACCCAAACCGCCCGCCCCGGCTGCAAAGACTAGTATTTCTTGGCACTCTTCGCTTCGTGTTTGTTTTTGGCGCTGTCTCTATTGCTGTATCGGTTCTGTCATCTTAAGTTTCGTACTAGTTTTTCGTTATGCTCGCCGCGTTATGTCACTGAAAGTTGAAGAACTTAATAAAAATGTTTTGTTTAACGCCCCTTTGGATCGACATTAACTGAGTTCATTAATGAGTTGGCTAATGCTACTGTAGTTAAAATCAGAAAGTCGGCACCACAGCGTTAAATGCGATAGCTTTAACGTTCTTCAACTTCTCTTTTTTACCCTAGTCAGTAATTTTGGCTATAACATGACCGATGGGGTATATATAGAGGCCATACTTTCTTAGCTAAGTAAATTGAACCAGAGGCATGCCCTATGTTGGTTCAACGCTTGCAAGTTCTGTAAAATTTGTAGCTTATTAGATTTCTGTTCTTACATAGTTTGACACTGAAACGTGATACACATATGTTACTTGTAATTGGCATTTAATGACAGGAAATCGGTTTATTATTTAAACGGCTTACTTAAAAGCGCAAATATTTGTCATGCATCTTAAAATGTCACAGAATTGCGACAACTGTGCCATTCTCTGGCAGTTTAAGTACAAATATCTGTTGGGTGCACACCCCACCCATACACACACACACACACAGCACACACCGTCCCACAGTTACGTGTGTATCGAGGCATCTCCATATCTCACAACGAGCCACTTCTGCGTAAGCTTTTCCGCATTTCAAGGTCAGCGGCAAGTAGCTCTTTGTGTATGAATGAGATCTAATTGTTCGTCTTGACGCTGACAACCGGCTCATGGGCTTTGTATGACTTATGTGCATTTAAAGAAGAGCCAAGTGGGCCACTGGCTGCTACTTACATATATAATCACAATGCCAAATATTGGATTGCATTTGCTCCCACATTAAACAAGAAAATGCCAAAAGCTAATCAGGCGACGACTGGGAAATGGCTGCATAAATAGCCAAATTGGATAGTTAGTTAACACATCATGAGCTGAGAATAAGCCTCATTGTGCACAGCCCACAGCACCGACCGCCATATATGATATATTGTGCTTAATTGACACGTTCCGCAAGAAGCAGAGAATATTGTTTGCATTAGAAATACTTTGCTACAGCTGAAACTGAAGAATGTTTAAGCAATTGGTTTTACTTATTGTCGCATTATGTTTTTTGTCATATTTTTTGCAGCACTTTGGCTCTTTGATACCCTGGATCTCAGTCTTTAGCGGGCATACACCAGCAAGTCATCGTCTTCGTTATGCTGTACAGTAAAATATGGCAACGTCGACACTTTATGTTGCTGGGGTGACCTGTTTGGGGTTTGTGTGCTTTGCCTTGGCATCTGTCGCCATCGGCATACCCATTTGGGGTTACTACGACAGTCCGTCGGGTGAGTGCCAATTGACTTTTAAATATCATTTATCTCTATTACTGACACTCTTCCCACAGGTGGCTATGACTACGATCGCGGCTATTTTGGCCCCTTCAAAGTGTGCAAGCAACTGACTTACAATCGTGAGAAATGCGGCAACGACGTCTCCAAGTTCAGGCTGAGCAGTAAGTACAATTTTTGATCAATCCTAGATGCGACTATCAGAACCCAAAGAGACTTAAGTACGAGAAAGATTTTAACCGAAAACTGAAAAAAAAAAAACAAAATATATAAACAATAAAAACTTTTGCATTTGTTCCTCAGTGCTTTATTAATGTTATTAAAGTATATTTTCTTCTATCGAACATCTGATTAAATGCCCTTTTGTCCTTTTGCCTGATTCACGGTTTGAACCAGCGCGTCGGCTAAGGAAGCAATTTTTTAAGTTCTTTGAACTCAAGTTGTAAACCTAGGCTCATCATATTAAAGCGGATTTTAGCTATGATTATTATGTATTATAAATTCCAATTAAAGTAGGACTAGCTTAACTACAATCTGATTTCTTGAGCCCCTTTTGCTGGCATCATCGAGTATTTAATATATTTAAAATCTCATTCTATCCAGATGCGGTTTTTGTCAGTGGACTCTTGGCAGTTGGCAGCTCAGCGGTGCTGGGCATCTTTTGCATATTGTCAGTCATTCAACACGCGATGATATCGTCGCGGGAGAAGGTTGTCATGTCCTACACATCGCTGGTCATTGTCAAACTCATATTGGCCCTGCTGGGTGGTAAGTTATTGCCAGGCGTGCCTGTCAGGAATAACTAAATAGTTTATTTAATTGCGTTGGCAGGTTTGCTGGCAATAATAGCCACAGTGCTGTTTGCCCTGCAAATCGATGAACAGGAGCGTTTCGGTTTCAAAATATCGCGTGGCATATCCTTCTATCTACAGGTGAGCACTTTGGCAATATTATATGTGATCGATTTGTTTGACTTACAATATATTCTTCTTGGCTTGCAGATAGTTGTGATTGTGTTGACCATTGCATTGTTTGTTGCCGCTTTGTATGACGTCATTTTCTCGCGCAGCTCTGGTGGCGATCCAACAATGGCGCTGGACGCTTCTTCGCCGGCTAGTGCCACCACCTTCAACAATCCGGGCTTTAAAGAGCCCCGTAGCCGCAATGGCGTCTCGGTGACAGACGCCTCGGGAAAGCCATATAGCGGCATACGAAATGGAGCTGGAACTGCCGGCAGTGTGGCTTCTATGAGTACCACCGTGACCAGCGTTTCGAATGGCTCCACGCTGGAGTCTGTTACCCGTTCGCCACTGCGCTCCAGTCTCAAAAAGCCACGTCCAAGGCCCGATCCAACGCTGGGCATACAAAATCCAGGCTATTCCGGATCGGGCAGTTCACCGCCTATGCGACGCAATGGAAGTGTGAAAAAGGTGCGCATTCAAACGCACAGCACGGAGGTTTAATGGCGGGTTTGGGGCAATTATTCCCAAACAGTTACGATTTTCGACAAGAGCATCAATTTGAAATAAGAACGATAACAAAAACAATTACAAAGACTGTGTAATGTAGCAACAACACAAAACGGCACTTCAAGAAACACAAAACCAATGGAAAAGTTTCAAGATTTTCTTTTTATAACCAGAAATTGAATTAATATTTGCATAAACAAATTGTTTTCATTTGTCTTCCGCACAATGCCGCAATGTTTTCTAAACAAAGGAAGAACCTTATTTTCATTTAAATTCTGTATATGAATTTTGTAAGCAACGGTTTCCGTCCAAGGGCAAAGTCAAAGTAGTTCATTTAATTTCCATTTGACATGTTGTTTGGTATATATGATTTAATATATTGTTAACCATTCTTCAAGTGTCCTTAAGACATATGCCCAGTCCCTCCACACGCTACAAATCAAATAGAGAGTACTTTAACAACTTTGTATCAATTCAAGATACAGAGATCATTAATTTGCAATGTAAAATATAAACAATTGTTGCTAAAGTTACCACATAAAAATACATACTACAATTAAGCTTGTTTGTTTAAAAATACGTTTAATGTTTATTACTGTAAGTTACAGATAAAATAAATTAAATGCAAATTAATATAAACTATTAATACAATTAAAAGTTAATAAAGATAAAAAGCCAAAATTGACTTGATTTGAGAGTTTTGCAAATTAAACTTTTGAGAAATGAATGGTATGTCTTAGTTGTGCTTCTACCATGTTATTCCATATAATTTCACTCATATCCAGTAATAACTGAATAATCAGTTTTTAGAACAAATATTTTGAAAATTTAAATAATGAATTAGGTTTTATATAATGCAATTATTTGGCTTTCTTTCTTTCGCACTTACGCTTAAATAAGAACAAAATGCTTTTGAGTATAGAATTAGCCAGAGATCAATCATAGATCAATTTTTATAAACTAGTCTAGGTACTTAAGAAAAGGATATTAGAAGCCACAACGATATCTATACATACCTATGTATACATAGATATAACGCTTTGAATAGAATATTAGGCTTTTCTTCATTCTTTGGGAAATACATTTTTCCCAAAAATGTTTATTTGAAAAATCGTTATAAAATTTCTCATTTAAAAAATAGTGCCTTACTTTGAAACGCAGTGTAACCTAATCGTTAAAAGTTTGTGATACCAAATCCGACAATATTGTATTTTATAAATACTAACTATACAAAAAACAAGCGGTTCTGTACACTAGCGACAAGCAGTGTGTTTTTAGACAAGCTGTTAACACACGCAAGCAGTTCTTAAAGTAACTGTTATATTAAGCTGACACATATTTTGAATTTATGATAGTTTCGAACTTAAAATATTTTTTTCAAATTAATATCTCAATATTATTTGGGAGCTTTAGTAGTATTTTTAAGCTATGAGGATATTTTCTAAACAGAACAGAGATTAAAGCAAAGGGAGAATCGGCTTTTAAATACCCTGGCGATCAAATATGAGATGTGCAATATATTTATCCACAGAACAGAGATTTAAGATATACAAAGTTACGACAAGAAAGCTGAGGAACGTATTCTTTAAGTGCGTTACGCATTACGTGGCAAGTTAGAATATGAGTAGAGCAATTTTCCATATAGTAAAGCCCCTTTCACCAAGCTTACCCATTATTTAATAAAGTTCAACAACTCTTAAAATGAATTAATACATGTTAATGCTGAGCCCCTGTCACAAAAATCATTCAAAGCTTTAGCTTTATCAATCTGCAAGAAAGGCATTCAATTATATTTCAAAGTAGAGCAATTATTAACTGCCGCATTACACAAATGCTTGCCCAGTTTGTAGGTGGTCAGCCTATGACCTCAGTGGATGCCATCCAGATTTTCCTTTGTTTGGTTCGGAGCTCTATCAGCAATGGCTGAGCGTCATGTTCATATTGATATTGATACATTCAACGGCTGGGCTTTGTTTACAACTTGAGGAGGCAATCTCTACTCACACTATGTGCATATAGAAGCGCTTGATTCATTCAAGCCCAACGACCCGATAAGCTAAGCTAACTAAACTGCTCAGCCAGGTGAGGTAATATTGAGAGAATATGTGAGAATAGCTGAGAGATAGAGCGGCTACAGTTTGAGTTCCCTCAGCCTGAGTTGCTCGAACCTCGAACAGTTCGAGCTGAGATTGCTCTGGTTCAAGACGTTGCTTGATAATACGAGTCGCATTTTATATAGAGACAGACGCGTGCAGCATCTAGTATATAAAACAAAGCTGAAGCTTCGTTTAGTTCTAGCGCTTTGTTTATATATTAAAATCATGAAAATTATGCTATCTAACAAAACATTGCACAAGTTTCTGCTGCCGCTGCTGCTGCTGATGCTCGCCAGCGTATGGAGCCAGCCATGTAAGTAGAATCGATAGAATTCTAGAGAGCGCATATTTCAATCTTTACAACTTTGCAGTAAACAAGCAGCCGGAAACTGAAGGGTCTGTGGCCCAACGACCCGTATTTCTTATTGAAAACAATGTGAACGCTGAGGACGCGAAGAACTATCAAATAACGATACCAAAAGAAGTTAAGCCCGGAGAGCCATGTTTGACGATCAGTTGGAAAACCAACCCGGATGGCAGTGGGCCGGATGATCCCAGAATTTATATGGTAGACGGCTACTTTAAGATCATGCCAGCCACGGCAAATAAGCAACAATAATCAGTTGGTTAAGTTATGCGTCTAAGCATTTCAACATAAACATTTCATATATGAGAACCAATTCACATGGATCGTTGGGCCTAAGTGTCTTCCCCTCCGGACTCTTTAAACTGCCAAGACTCAACTTGTTGATGGGATAAACATCTGTGCCCACAGAACGAGGGGGCTTCTAGACGGAAGTAGCTACGGCTACAGCTTATACTGTTTTTGCAGACATCGAAATTAGATGATCTAATCCTGGTATAAAACGCATCGCATCTCTAATAACACACCACAACAACACTTTCATTTAAAAATTTAGTGTCCTTAAAAAAAGGTTTTGCAATTTAAATTATTATAATTTTTAGAAATACATTTCTTAAATATGTTTTAATATTCAGATTTCAATTAAAGTTAAATTTAAAATATTGCCTAGAACATATTCTCAAAAGTTTTGAAGAAAACTCAAATAATATTATAGGCCAAGCGTGCCCCAAAGTAGTTTCTCCGAATACAAAATGAAGAATATAATATCTCTGAATATTACAAAAAAGTTATGTTAACTGTGATCATATTTTTTTTGGAAATTGTCATCCCATACAAATTTCCCATTAAAGAATATTACAAATTTCTAATCATAGCAGGTTTTGTTAACCGCTTTGACGTTTTAATAGGATACGAGTCGATCATTAGTAAAATTTTTAAATATGTGTGCTAAGACCCTCGAAGTTTCTTACAGTGTATGTTTACATTCAATCTTAGACTACTTTTATCAATATGTAAGTACATAGCATATACATCACTTTTTTTTTTCTTTTTCTAATATTAATCCCAAGCGCATTATTTTACCTTTATACAAGGCAACAGAATTCCATTTACTGTTTAAGATTTTTATTTAACCAATATTTTGTAAAGATTAGGATTTGCAAAAAAATTTGTAAATCTATTTTTTGTTTTATAATTTGTTAAAATTTTTAAATTTTATGTTTTGGTCATTTTTGGGAGTTTGTCAGACCATGCTCGACATGATTCTCTTAAAGCTAAACCGATTTTTTAATCAATGTTTAATATAATTCCCTTTACAATTTTAAAGTATTTTTTTCTATTATGAAACATGGGAAAAACTAGCACAATTGTTTACCTAACTGCGCTAGACGCAATCGTGTTACTTTCTTTTTTAAGCAAAGTTAGCTTTTGACGAGCGGACACTTTTTTTTTGGCAGGTGGCGGACACAGTATGTTTTGTACAAGAACTCTTTTTTTTTTTTTAGCAAAAAATCTGGCCCTGGCTTGAACAATCAACTTTTGTAACGATAAAAAGCTGTTACAAAATGTGACTAAAAAATGAAATATCCGGCATCAAGCTTTCGCGATTTTTTACTCAATTTCATAAGTTTACAAACTTTACATTTTTTGTTGCCATCCAAATGTGCAAAAACTGAGCTAATTATGAAACGCTTATACAGTTTTGACTGAAAATGTGAGTACATATTCTTTATAAGCTGTTTACAGAATCTATACTGTATTATTTATGCTTCTACTTCAACATTTTTATAAAGCGTAAAATATCGGAACCAAGGGCGTCCGCTTCTGAGAGCTTGACTAGAACTCATCTATTGAGTAGCTTATTAATACATTGGTAACGCTGCCCAAATTTGATTACAACTTTCAAAACTTGTTGGGCTTTAAAATATTTGACCAAGCTCTACAAGCGCAAGTTGCGTTTGAATTCAATGCGCTTCACATAGAGCATCCCGCCAGGGTATAAAAAAGCACAAAGGCCATCTCCAGAATGGTCGAATCTAAAAAGGTTCCACTTCGCCGAGAGTTTGTGTAGGCCAATTTGCCTAATTAGGCAACAAGCTATCGTTGCAACCCTTTCAACACAGTAGCCAAGCATAGTTTTATTGAATTAATATAAATTTTGGATGAGAGCTTTTATAAAGGACGTAATAACAAGCATTTCTTCCAATACCGAGCCGAATTCATTCGCTGCATTGTACTATTTCGCGAGTTATACAGAATTCACAGTTTGCCTTGAGAAATAAAGTTTTAATTGACAAAGTTTTCTAAACTTCTTGTTCGCTATTTGGGCAAAGCAGACAAAATTGATTTAAATGTGCTGTTTCACAAGGAAGTTAAGTGCAGCGGCATGTGTGGAGCTGCGTGTTTACATGAATATTTCGAATAGGTTTAGGCTAATTTTCTGTTCATGATTTACTTTTAATTAGGAAGTCAACGCTTGCAAATGTAACTTACATAACTTGCCTGATTGGAGGGATTAACATTCCATAAGATTATGTGTATGAATCACGTTCCTGCCACAACAGGTTGAAATCCTGCGTTGCACATTCTTCATTTAATTGCCGCGGTATTCCCTCTCCTCCTCAAAAAAAAGGCGAGTGGGGCGCCTTTCGTTTTCATTTTTATTTTCATTTTAATTAAGCAACTTTAGGCATTTATTTTCATTTGCGAACTTTTACAGCTCGGTAGAAACTTTTCGGCCGGGTGGCAAAGCACACAAAAATATTTTGTCGCAAAATAGAAAGGGTTGACATTGCGGCTATTTAACTGCGAATTATTGTCGGTTTATAACTCTATATAAATATATAATGCAAGCTGGTATTAGCACAGCCTCGTTTCGCACAAATTTGTACCTACAATTTTTAAACATTTGCTTAGCCTTTACGACTTTGTTTTCAAGTATAACGTTTTTTTTAAGCGTGCATACTCTTTTATCTGAAGGGTAGAGGTTGTAAAAACTGGTATGTTTTTTATGCCATAAGCAGTCTAAGCCTACTTAACTTGTCTACATCTCCCCCGCTGGGCTAAACTAAAGAAAGTATTATTAAATATCGCCTTTCTACGCGATTCAAATTCAAGTACAGCTAGAGGTCTTCTACTCTTACTCTTACTCTTTGAATATGTGTTATACTAACTGTTTTTTTTTTTTGGCCATCTAATAGAATGTATCTTTGCTCATCCTCTAAAATTTTGCACGCTGTCACTCTCTCGCTCTCACTCTTTCTCTAACTCCCTCTCTTTCTCTTTCAATGTCTTCCTTTCGGCGTATTTCTTTCAATCTCTCTCTCTCTTTCTCTTTCAATATCTCTCTCTCTCTCTCTCTCTCTCTCTCTTTCTTTCCTCTCTCTGCCTCTGTCTCTCATCTCAGCCTCATATTAACATATAGGATGTCGGCTGAGGCAAACTATTAAGCAGGATTGTTGTATAACTGAAATATGGCAAAATGTTCATCAGCAACGGAGCAAAATATCAGATACATTTGTACTTAGCCTGCATGATCTCGGCTTAACAGCTGGTATGTTAGCAGCAGCTGTCTATGTTAACTTTACGGTATGTTACAGTCTGTTACAGTCTGTCATATTGCACCGGAACTGCACATGCAATGTGTTTCATACCTATGTGTGGGTTATATATGTGTGTATGACCAGTATGGACATAACAAATATGCATTTTGGAAATATTTAAAGAACATTTCGCCGACATGTTGTTTGTGGATTTATTGCATTGCGTCTCGCATTACATTGCCAATTTACAAAAGCTGCCACCCGCTGCCAAACGTTTTCCACATGCACAGCAACATTTGTTGCGGCACACTGGAAATTCTTGTTCCGAAATGCAACTTACAGCTGGGCGTTGCTGTGGGTGGTGGCTGCCTCGTTATTGTTAGTGCCACCAATTTGTAACTGTCCCTTTTGGGCAACGCAAAGGCTGCAGGCTGCAGGCTGCAGGCTGCATGCGTATTGTTTAAGTTTCGAAGATCAATTAATATTTTCCATGTTGCGGAATATTCAAGGTATATTTGCTCGCTTTAACTCAATGAATATAATGTAAGCTTACAGTTCTTTTGAGTATTATTAGACAAGTAATAAAGCCGAAATTATACTGGTTTAAAGCTGCGCTAAGGACTGCACTGAAACCTGAAAATATGCTCTAGGAAAAAGGGCTAGCAGCTGGTGAAAATATTGAGATTTCAGTGCAGTCCTGAGCGCCATATATTTAGTCTGATGCCGCATGGACTTAACAAACAATAACAATTTTTAGTAATCCCGCACAAGTGAAAGTAAAATACGCCGAATCAAATATCACCTTCCTCGACCTTGAATGTGTTGGCGTCCAAATCGACGAAGACGGGTTCGTTTTTGGGATCCTCTTTCTCCTCCTCAAGTAGGCAGTAAATATTGTTCGACTCCTGTTTGAGGATTTCATCCCCTAGCTTAAGCCAGAATGGACGGCAGCGATTCTTCCACTGACGTAAATTATAGAAGGCACAATAGCGTGAGCTGGACGCCTTCAACATGGCCATATAGAGCGGAGTGATTTCATCGGCCATTAATTTGCCCATCAGAAAGACGGCCGTCTTCTTGCTGTGAGTGTCGTTAAAGTCGATGTAAATTTTCTTGGCTTGATTATAGCACTTCTTGGCGATTCCTGTCTTTTGGGTGTCCCTGGCGAACAGCTTGCCAAGATTCAGCAGTATTTCCGCCTCGTGATCCTTGTGTTCGTACAGGCGCGAAAGACGCAGAGCTCGCTTGAAGCTGGATATGGCCTTGTCCATGTTATCGAAGCTATAGAGAAGGTGTGGTCGAGGTCACAAACAGATTCACACAGCGTCAGGATGCATTACTCACTTCTCGGCGCACTGTCCCAGATATAGATAGAACTTAATGTTTAGCTTGACAAACTTGTACTCGGTGCATGCTGTTAACTCCGGTCGGATCTGCTCGAGGCAATGCTGAGCGGCATGGTATTTGTTGCCCTCCATAAGGAAGAATGCCCTCTCCAAGAATGTGTCACAAAATATGTCCAAGTTCTTTTGCCGTCCGACTACGAGAGAAATATATTACAAATTGCCTGAAGCCGCGGCTACCTCTGACTTACTTTCCGCAATCAGCACAGTTGCCCTCCTGGCCATGTCGACCGCTTCCTCAGGCTGCTGGCGCACAGTCTGGCGTCCAAAGATAAGCAGTTGACGTGCCAGCTGTTGAGCAACCAGCTCATGCAGAATCGGGCTGGCCGATCCCTTGTCCGGCTCGGCTAGCCACATATGTCCTCGGACCAGCTCAAGGGTGGCCGTCAGATAGGTAATGGCATTGGCTCTCTGTCCAGTACGTTCCAGAAATAGTGCATATCTGTGGTAGATGCGAGCAATCATCTCGGCGGCGTCCCGCTCCTGGCCTTCGATGTTGTGGCACAACGACACGATGTGCTCCATAACCGCATTCAGGGCATACTCATACGTTACACGGTAGGGCTCGAGCAGCAGCAGAGCCTCGTAGAAGAGCGTGAAGCACTCTTTGAGCCCCTTGAATTTTCGCTTGATCACCGCGAGCTCGGCCCGTTTCAGTTTATCAATCATCTCGTAGAGCAGCGGGCGATCGTCAATGATCCTGGCCCGTATGCTGACCGACTCAAACAGCGCCTGCTCCTTCTCGGCCAAACAACGCACAAACTCAGGCATCATCCGGCAGCCCTCGTGCCGTAACTCAGCCTGCAGAGCTTCGTAGATCGGACCACGTTCCCTACGTGCCTCAATGAAGCTTAGTGGCACAATGCTGGCTTTAATTGCATTCCTATCAAAGGTGATCTCACGAAAGGTGCGATAAGGTAGTTTGGCCCTCACCTCACGCTCAATGCGCTGAATTTCCTGCTGACGGCGCGACATTTTTAGTATGCTTACAAACAATATCAAGAAATTCAATTCGATTTGTTTACATCAAAATATATATGAACGTTTGATTTTCCATGCTTCTAGGCATTTCTTATCATTTGGAATTTACACTAGCCTACAAAGTTAAAGCTTTTCCTGCAGAGCTCTGTTGTTTTTGTTTTTATACCTTGATCCCGTTAAAAATTGGTATAAGGGTACATAAATATGTAAAATATGTAAAATATTGTGATATATTTTGGTAAAATCTAGCACTCTATAAAACCTTTTAGTATTCAATTGAATTTTAGCAGGCAATATTAAAGAAACAAAGTCTCGGCTAGCGAATAGGAGTTTCTTAATTGAGCACAGGCATGCTGTCTGTAAGTGTATAATCGTCTCATGTTCTTCCAACTCGAGCATATACATGTGTACATACTTACATACACTTGTATCTGTGCTGTGCACAGATAGCAAAGCGTAATGTCGAAGTTCATAAGTGAAGTGAAAAGAGCCAAAAGTAGTTCTAAGAAGAGAAAACTAACAACAAACAGCATGTGGCACAAATAACAGAAACATTACGTTGTTGTCTCAAACCCAGCTGAATTTCAATTCAATAACTTTTGCCTTTCTGCTTGTATTGTTGTTTGCTTTGCTCGGACTTTGGCTTCTCGCCGAAAAGTATCCTTTGATTTTTGTTGCCGTCGTGCAGAGGACGGGGCAGGCAATGGGGCCTGTTACTGTTACTGTTACACATGCCGGCGCCGGAGTAGATTCGATTTTGGCTCGTTTATTCCAACTTCCCTATGAATGAAATTATATGCAGCGCCGCAACAGGCGCCTGCCCCATATTCAACCTCAACCTCAACCCCGGTTCCATGACCCAGGCCCCAATGGGGGCACTGATGGTCGCTTGTTGCAACTTCGGCTTTGCCTAGTAGCAGCTTGTTTCTGATCCCGACTTCTGGCATCCGGCACTTGCAGCGCAGCGGCTGTGCCTGTGGTTCTGCCGCACAAACTTTGCCCAAGTTGTGTGGGCGTTTCTCAGCCCTACAAGCATGCACCAAAATCGGCAACAGCAGGGTCTGAGAGAAGGCTGAGCTGGGTGTTTTGCTGAATTTATGGCTTGCCGGCGGCAGCGACAGCTACAGCGGCAACAGAAGCAGCCTTGTGACAATGTACATTGCAACGAAAATTTGTGGCTTGCTCAAATTAAGTTGCATAATTTTTTGGAAAATGCTGCATTTTCTTTCCCTCTTTTTTAAGTATGTTAATAAATCAAATATGGAAACTGAGAATGTTCGCGAGTCATTCGTTCCTTAAAGTTATACATAGATCAAAACTATATAGAATAGAAAATAACGGATATACGTGGCACGCCGAAGATTAAATTCCCTTTGTAGAATTATATTGTATATATGTAAGGGGCATAGTGAAGCTCGTAAATACAGGATTTGGTGAAAAGCGGAACATTTTCCATAAAGAAAGTTGTTTTTGAATCGATTCTCCCATAGAGCTATGTTCGATATTAAAAATGAAACACACTAAAGTTTATAAATATTAACATCAAGATATCTTAAAGTTTAAAGAGGTTTTTCATACAAGCATATAATCTTAAACTTACTGAGACTCATTGACTCTACAGTTCACAGTATATTTCATGATAATATGAGTCGAAAAAGAGTGTTCTTGATTGTTGATATGACTATGGCTGAAACCACAAAACAGTCTTTCACAATCTGACCTTAGTGATCATAGATAGTTGTAACTTGTGGTGACAGAAATTATTTGTCATGATGCTTCTAATTGGCTTTCTTTAAAATTTGCTGTCTCAGGGTATTTAACTGAAGGAGATATAGCATTTTTGCCGTCCATTCATGTGCATAATGAATCAATATTAACACTTAATCCGAGGCGGATTGATAAACAGAAGGCCAGACGGAACAGATTATAACAACACATATTTCATTTTGTGTGTTCTTCGAATTATGTTCTATAAATTCTATGCTTTGTGCATTGTATTTTATATTCAGGTTTATAGCACATACTCGCACATCTACCACGACTGTAATATCTGCCGCACGGACTTGAATTTCATTAACACAATTCGGTGAGAGCAGTTTAGAAGCTTAGAAGCTTAGAAGTGATGGCCATACATCAAGGATGAAGGATGAGGTCTCCTGTGAATGTATGCACAGTATGCAAGTGTGTGCAACGTCCTCGCCTGTTCATGTGTAAGGAGTATGCACGTGTGTGTGCATGTGTGTGTATGCATATAAATATATGGCCACGCATTGTTACGTTAACTGATGTCACTGCTGTCAGCTCGTTGATGAGCGGCTGAGGTATGTCGTGGAAAGGGGACACTGCCAAGACCGCTGAGGTTTTCAAAAATGTCAGCGCCGCCTTGTTACTGGCTGCGAAATTGGATCGAAAATAAATGCACGTTCATTTTTCCTTGTGACACGGCTATTAGCAATGTCACAGTATTATTAACACTTACAACTGGGAAGGAAAACGAACTACATACTCATTTCGGAATATCTTTTAAACTTGGGAAGATGATTATGTTAAACAACATGGCTTAATTTAGATTTAAACATATTCTAAATTAGGTTTCCTACAAGTTTATTTTGAATTGGGCTTAAGCTGCACCGGTCTTAGCCTGAAAATCGACATTTTATTTACCTTAAGTCAGATTCTCACGCTGATAAAAGTTGCTAAAAGTGAAAAGTAACAGAAAATTAGCAAAAATAAAAGTAACTTAAAACCAAAAAAAAAAAAAAAAAAAAAAAAAAAAAATTAAGTCAGATTAGTTGGATAAATGGCAGCAATTGGAAAATATTATTGCACAACTATTAAGCTTTTAACAGTGGGCTAACGATAGTTTAGAGCATATACGAATAATATAAATAAGAAAAACACATATTTGTCAATAAAAGTATGTAAATTAAATTCATTTTATTTATAATGTATATATATAAAAATGGTTAAATGAAAAATTGATGGAAATTGGACTAACCAAGGCTCGAACCAAAACCAGGCTTAAGAGAATCCTGTACACGAACCCTGATCGAACTCAATGGCAGGCATTGGCTTGAACCGTAAACCTACTCAACCAAATTATTTTTTCCACGGGCTTAAATGTATACCATCGGATATTATAAACGTTTTAATTGTTAGATATGTCTATGCATGTAGCTAAAAAGAATGTAGATGTATTACAGATTAGAGTACAGGGCATTTCAGAGTTGAGCACTCTCGAGTTGGGCACTCTTAATCGCCAAAGTATACATTTTTGGCTTAGTACGAAACAAAGCAAGGAGAAAGTACTGCAGCATTGTATGTGTAATGCAGGTGTGTTGCATAGTTGGTTATAGGGTATCTATCAGTCAGACACTCTTGGCTGGGGAGCTCTCAATTGTTGTTCGCCAGCAATCCTAAGAAATCAGCCATAGTCAGAGATTTTCTCAGTGCTGTCCATTAACAGAGCGACCCACTGACGCAAATGTTAAGCTAGGTCACTTACGTTCCACCTTGTGGAAGGCATTTGTTGCTCGCGTGGCCGTTATAAAGTAACGGTGCTGCGTGCTGACTGTGTTCAGTGCGCCAATAGCCCCGTGTGCTTGCTGACGGTTACGAAGTTTGTGACGCGCTCGGCAGACGCGTGCCCAGAGATGTGAGTGTAAAATTGCGAAATTAAGGATAGTCCTTAGGAGGAAATGACATCTGGCGAATGGGATCTGTGTGCGCTGAAAGCGCTCGAGGAAGAGGAGCAAAAGGAGTTTCTGGCGCTAAGCCAGAGGAATCTTTTTGAGGCTCCACTTCCAACAGGTGGTGCCGAAAATGGCAGCGTAAGCTTTGCCAATGCCAATGCTAAGCCAGCCCTGACCTATGCGCAACTGCATCCACATCTTCTCAAGTTGCCCACCATCGATGAATGCCAGCTGATAGCCACCAAGCGTCAATCGCCAGGTAGTGTGGCCAGCAGCGCCCGTTTAAAGTTTTCCCGCGCGCTCTCCCTTTCAGCGCATTCCTTGTCACCACGAGCCGGTAGCGTTGGTGGCATCGGCGGAGGTGGCGGCGGCGGTGTGGGCTTTGGCAAGAAACTCAAGGCACGTCTTGTGGGTGCCAAATCCAGTGGATCGCTGTCACCGTCGCGTCACTCTCACAGCTACAGTGTCTCACCCGTGTATACTCCACCGCCAATGCGGCGCTGTGCCACGCTGCATCACACGCAACCGGTACGTAAAACCTTCAAGACGCTGCAACAGTTGGAGCGTCAGAAGCGTCAGAGTCATGCAACACAGGCGTCGACGCCGCCGCAGTTGCAGCGCATAATGGGCACCAACAAAACATATTGGAAGTACGGCGCCAACTCTACGGCCGCCTCAATTATTGGTCAGCGTGCGAGACTGCAGCAGCAAGAACAGCAGCCGAGCGAACTGGAGTCCAGCACCTCGGACGAACCTAATGTAGAGACACTTGAATCTGAAGCAGCCGACAGCGCCACAGAGACGGGCTCGTGCAGTGTGCCGTTGCCGCCAGCGGACTCCAATGAGCTGCTGCGTCTAAGCCTAATGTTAACCGCAGCCAGCTCGGCTGTGACTGTGACTGCCTCAGCAGCGGCAGCAGCAGCAACTGGTGGGCCAGGCAGGCGCTATCAGGCCCACGGCGTTGGCGAGGACGAAGTCAATGCCGAAACTGTTGCTTACGAAGCTTTTCACAGGCCCAAAAGCTTTGAGCACGCGCTCTTACGTGGTGCTAGCTTAACATTAACAGCGCAAGAGAGTCACAGTCCTGGCCCGAGTCCCAGCCGCAATCGGCCAATGCAATCCACAGGCGGCAAGCGCATTTTAAAGTCCACTTCCCTAGAGGCGGCCGCCACGGGGGATGGTGCTGTTGACTATCAGCAACAGCAACAACAGCAACAGATTATTGGTCAGCCGCTGGCCATGATGGGCATGACAGCCGCCACAAATCAGCTGGCTGAGAGTCAAACAACCGAAGCTCGTTATTTGCCACGGGAACGAGAAGGCGATTGGGAGCACGGATTGGGACGTAAGCAAGTCAAATATCATCAGGATT